TTTGCATAAGGAGGGGAAACACTCCACGTGGAGCCAAATTTAATAAATAGAATGAATGAAGGATTTAATGGAGTTTTCTTTACTTGCTTTGTTTCAGATATGTGATGTAACACAGAGGTTTTCAGACTGTGAGGCGAAGGAGAGTCAAATCTGAACACACACACTGATACACACACACGTTAGATCAAGTGTGACTTACCTTTCCAGAGGTTATCGATGTCTCTGATGTGCATCACCAAGAAACATCCATAAATCCACTTCGAAATCACTAATAAAGGTGCTTATAACTCCAAGAACTTGCCTGAGAATCATCACGTTTTTAAGTTTTCTTCAGTATAAAAGTCGTCCAGTGACAGTTGTCTGTACACCCATTAGAAACTGCTAGTAACTAATTCAGAGTAGTTTTAACGGGGCTACTTTGGTAAAATAGTAAACAAATACATGTTTAAAGAAACAGAGGTTCAACAGGAGTTCACCAGCAAGTTTAAACTTCCTGTTTACATCCCCCAAAGCTTTATGGGAACCGTAGTTCCAAAACCTGAAGCATGTTTATCACCCAAATTGAAGTAAGATGAACAATCAGAATCAGAATCAGAATCAGGATCTGGTTTATTGCCAAGTAGGTTTTTGCTTTGGTGTTTTGGTGCAAATCAATAAACACAGAAAGAAAAAAATAAATAGAAATAGAAAAATTAAACAACGAGATTCTTCTGATTCTGAATAAGAATTGTTACAAAATCCATCAATATTAAATTCAAGTTTTTATGTTTGGCTGAAGTGGACGAGCCGACAATAAAAACATCCCTCGTCTCTGCAGTGAAGAGCGGGAAACATCACATCTGTGCAGAGCGAGGAGGAGGAGGAGGAGGAGGAGGAGGAGGAGGAACCTTCCTCACATTAATACATGTCAATTAACCACATCTTGCTGTCTCTTCTCTGACATCAAAAAGTCCTCTTAGTTTTGAAGTAGCAGACATTTTAAATCCTGCCTGTTCCTCGTCTTCTTTTTGTTATGATGAAGAGACACAACCCAGCTCATCATGGCATGAAAGAAAAGAAGGACAGGACAGATTCACTAATGAGGCGGCTGTGGGAGGCCGGGGACTGTTAAATATATGCAGATATATGTAGGTCAAAAACTCAATGAGTCCTCCCAGAGACATTCAGCAGCAGTCTACCAGCTGACGCTCTTATTACGGAGAATACCTGGTGGATTGTTGATGAATGAAGCCGCCCAGCTTCACCTTTATGTCAGGAAGTGTGGGATTCATTTCTAACGTTTATAAAAAAGCCAAATTCAACCACTCATCTTTGAAAAACATGTGATTGAACCGACACTGATGTAGGGATCACTGATGATGCCAGATCTGGCTGACAAAAAGAAGTGAGATCAGAAACAATCCCCTCAATCGTTGTAAAGGCAGCCCAGTTTTTAATGCTATGCTACAACATGAGCCTGTTTTTTTTAGCCTATATTTGTTTACAGTTTGTAAAAAAATTTGTAAATATAATTACTTTATTTATAATTAGCCAAATTTACTATTAGGGGTTCCTCTTTGCTGTGCACCAATGGATGTACTGACAACTATCAATCAATCACTTTAACAGCGAAGAAAACCTAAAAATGTGATTATTCTCAGGCAAGTTCTGGAGTCGTCAGGTGCGTCTTTTTACTGTGGCTGCTAAGTGGGTTTATGGATGTTTATTTGCGATGGACAGTGGAGATAATAATATCCTCAGTAAGTGGAAGTTGCGCCGAATATAAAAATATGTGTATCATGTCTGTGTGTTCACATTTGACTGAGTTATGACTAATTTCTGATCAGCAGCCAAACTACAAACTAACTTCCTGTTGTTTTTAGCTCACCTGTACACACCTGTCCCTTTCACTTTTACAGTATCTTTGCCTCGCGTCTATCCCTCTGTGTTTCCAGTGTCGCCATGTTGGGCCGTTTTCTGCTCTCGGTTGAGCTACTTCTTCTTTAAAGGAGCTTTTCGCAAGTTTTGCTATTGCTACATAGCTAGCGTTAGCATTAGCAGCAGTTTACTCACCAGTCTAGAAGAAAAGTTGCGAGTTCGGCATCAAACTTCATCCCTTCACTCGCCAACAGCTGTCTCCAGAGGTGGAAAGAAACGCCAGTGTTAACTCCTGCCTGCATCACATCTTTTCTTCTACTCAAGTTAGCATGCTAACCAGCTAGCCCCAGCCGGACGTGTCAGTGTCCGATAGCGATTCACTGTAGCCTGAAGACATAGCGCTGCTCAGAGGACGTATTATAACCTCTTGTCTTGTGAACGCCTCGATGTCCAAAGCTCTTTTCAAGCGACGTTCACCACCACCTGCTCCACTGCAAGAGAAAACGTACAATTAGCCCCTTTAATGCTAATTATATTATCATTAGATGAGCCATGTCTCAACAGGCTTACAGTCAATGGAGGGATTATCCATGTATTTGTCTTGTTATTCCTCTACTGGTTTGTTTGGTTGCTATTATTTTTTATAATCTGTAAAAAACACTTAAACAAGAAAACTTACAAATAGTCCCTTTAATTGTGTAAAAATTGGTTGGGCAGGTTTTCATAATTTAAGTTACCACCTCCGAAAGGTTTGGATATATTCCACTGAATTTAAAAGTGTAAGGAGGAAGCTACTTCCTGTTGTTTGGCTGCTGATCAACACAATCAACAGCTCACGGACGACCTTCAGGTGGAAACCCTTAGTGGAAGTTGCCGCAATGTCTGTCAATAACCCCAAATCAGTGAAATCTGCAGACAGATATCTTTACATTCATTATCTCTGATGTCCAAACGTCCACGTCTGGCCTCTTGTAGCTGCACAGCTTCATGTTTTTAGGATCTCTCTCCAGTATCAAAGTGATTCATTGGTAGGTGTCAGTACACACAGTGGTACGCACAAAACAGGAACTACTAATTGCAAATTCTGCATATTTTATTTTCCAAAATTCAAACAATGTAGGCTAAAAGAAAAACTGTACCCAGTGAAACCACTGCAACCTTTCCTGTCCTGTTTCTGTATGTTCCTCTCAGTGAGGACGACCCCCATCTGCTAACACTGCTCTCTGTACTGTGCCCCCCCCCCCTCCGGCCATTTTTACTCTCATGATTGTTCATCATATCTTCTAATAAAAAGCTACTGGACGGTAATTATGTGCTGGAGCTTGTAAGGAGCCACAGAAACAATTGGGGACCAACTAAAGAGCCTCGACAAACTCACCTCTCATCACCGTTCGCTCGCTGCTACGAACAAAACATCTGTTCTCTCTCCATGTGTCGTACCTGGCTGCACACAGCTGGGTGCGTTTACACAGGAGGAATCTTGTGTGCGCCACATGTGAGCGGATCTCAGCACAATCAAACTGTTGTGCGACCAAGTCCCCGGGCAATGAGGAGGTCCTAATGGCACAGCTGACTCCCTTGACTAGGAATGTCAAGTCTTGCCGAGGCCTCCCACATTAAAATAGCCGGCGTGCCCTGTCAGCAGGCCCTTACAGCAGACGCATGGCGGCCTAACAGCTGCCAAACTTACAGAACCAGAGAACAGGCTTCAACAACAGGAGAACAGATCAGCATGGGGGGGCGGGGGGGGAGTCAAATTACCCTCGAGTCTCTTCAAACCCCCCTCCTCAACTTTAACTTCTCTGCTCCTCACTGAAGTCGGAAAACAAGTTATTTCCACACAAAACACTCGTCTGATGAGCGACCTGAGGGATGAGGACCACGACTAAAACGCCATGTCCTTCAGATTTCTCTCTGACGCGGGTTCGAGAACAAGCTCTCGTTGTGTGTCGAGCTGCTTCCTGCATAGTCTTTATTAACTTGAGAGACAGCTGCTGCGTCACGCCAAACAGTGTGTGAGTGTGTGTGTGTGTGTGTGTGTGTGTGGGAGGAGAGCAACTGTAAAGCATATGCTCCTCAATCCCTGCTACAACGACCATCTGATATCCACGTCCCATCAGGGCCGCAGCTACACATCGTTTCCTTTGTTGCTTAATCTTGATCTGATTAATCTAGACATTCAATTTACCCACAACACCCCCAGGTTCACTCACGTCATCCAGGTCTACGTAGTTTCATAACGGATTAGTTTGAAAGTTTATGGGCCCTCCACCGTTTACTTCATATTCTGCTCGTTTTTTAACAGATTGCTTCAGTTTTCTCTGAGTGAAGTGATAAACACCAGGAGAATGCATCATAGAAATACTGTAAAGCTGCAATAATTATCAAAATAAAATAGTGAAACATGCTCATAATTATATATTATTATCTCGTTTTGTCTGAGCAGCCAAAAACCTAAAGATGTCGAGTTTTACTGTCGTAGAAAAGGGAGAAATTAGCAAATATTTACATTTGAGAAGCAGGTAAAAGTGAATTCTTTAGCAGTTTCTGCTTAAAAATGAAGCCAAAAATCAATTATCAGAATTCATCCCACTTCATTTTCTGTTCATCAACTATTAAATTAGAGTACTGATTGGTTTCAGGGGGGGGGCCTGTACAAGGGAAATCCAGCCATGAATTTATAATCATACATGACAAAGAAAAGCAGGAAATCCTCACGTTTCAGACGCTGAAATCTGCATCTAATGCTGTCCATTAATCCTTCAGGTAGTTTCAATTCATCAATGAATCATTAAGAGTCTATAAAATGTCAATAAGCAGTGCGAAGCAGCAAATCGTCACATCTGAGAAACTAAAACCAAAGATTGACATTTGAGCAAATGATTAATCAATAATCAAAATGCAGGAGGGGATTTACTTCCTATCAGCTGATTAGCTGGTTAATTAACTGCAGTGCAAACTAACGACTATTTTTCAGTGTCAATTAAGCTGCCAGTTATTAAATCAGTCCATAAAAAGGTTTTAAACTTTGCGTCCACAGTTTCTTAAGAGTCGACTTTCTTCAGGAAACCAGATTATGAAACAATTGATCGATTATCAAAAGTCAGCAATTGATTTTCTGTCAATCGACTCGTTTCAGTTACTTTCAGATTTTAAAAGTCTTTTAATTTATAAAATACGATGCCTGATAACAGCAGCAGTTGAACTCCACCTCGACCAGCTACAACATTTAACTTCATACATCAATAATATTGATCCAATAATACAATAATAGTCATTTCACTTCTGATACTTTAGGTTCATTTTGTTGCACGTTTTTGTCACGTTATCCATTGATTAACTTTTAATTTTAAGATCTAATTCTAATCTTTTGTCGCCTTTTACATCCTGAATGAGTAAAACTCAGATCAGATCAACAGGATCGTCGCTCACATATTCAGAGCTTCTTCCTTTTGAGATCTGGTCTCACAATAACATAAAAAGACAGATTGTTGACCAACAGAAAATTAATTGGCAACAATTTTTAATAATTGATCGATTGTTTAAGTAATTTTTATAAAAGAAAAATGACAAATATTCTGTTTCCAGCTTCTCGAATGTGAGGATCTTTATCTTCTCTGATAATAATAATAAACTGAATCTTCGACTTCTGACGACGTCATCTCTGGCTTTAAGAACTTTCAATAAACATTTCCAACACTTCCTGACATATTATTGCCCAAACAAATAACTGAAAATGAAAATAATTGTCAGTTGCAGCCGTGGACTTATTTCAATGTGGCTGAGGCCTTAGATTCTGCATGTGGCGTCTTTTTAAATCCTCACACTGACCTCTTAAGTGAAAGCACAGTAATCCCGGTCTGGATTTGACATTGCTGGATTTTCCCAGCGCGGGTTTTCTCTGTTCATCACGCAACTTCGGACAAAAAACATCAGCAAGAAATTAGAAGAGATTTTGATTCAGAGACAGAAAATATGTTTAAAAAAAAAAGATGATGCTATAAACAAGTAAAAACAATATTCTCTGGTTCCTGCTTCTCAAGTGTGACGATTTGCTGGTTTTCTGTTTCATATTATTAAAATTTGAGGATAATAGAATTTAAAGATGTCACCACCACAATTTTGACACTTCACAGGCCAATACTGATCAATTAATTGAGAAAATAATCATTAGAATAATCGATAATGAAAATAATCAGGCTGCGGAACATGTTACATTCACATATGAATACAGAGATTTAAAAATATACAGTCACAACGTTGGTTATTGCATTTAAAGTAGTTTTAATTAAGGAAGTGTTATACTTTCACTCTAGGAAAAACAAAATGAAAAATAATCTGGAGGTTTGAGTCACAACTTTGTTTTAAGAAATTAACCTTTTCTTTTATTTTTTAGTCTTGAAATTCTTCTTTTTTTTTTTTTATACACAATACATTTTCCTTTATAAGTATTTGAAAATATCTTTTGCTGGTTTGTTTGGTAATATCTTTCCTATAAGTAGAATCTCATTTCAATATAGTTCTCTTTTGAAAAAAAAAAAAAACAAGAAAAAAATGAACAAAAACAAAAAGAAAACATCCATCACTGCGTTTCTGTCCAGGGTCTTCACGTGTTGGAAGATGTTGTCAGTTATGTCCGAGCGCGGCCTGCGGCTGGTGGAGACGGACGTCCGTCCAGCTCTGACCACGACAGAGAGGCTGATGGGCGAAAACCAGCCGCCGATGCTCTGCAGGCCACGGCTGAGCTAGAAGATCACAGACGCTCTTGCCGGGTGTCTGGTCCCTTGTAGTGGCATGAGGGAGCAAAAATGAGCATCGTTAAAAAGTCTCATGTATATTATCTGTGCGTCGTTCCACAAAAGACAAGTCCTCTCCCAGTGTGTTGGCCTTCCAGAGAGCAGCCGCTCTCAGACACCAGGGATGCTCTGGAGTCAGGAAACAAGCCGCTCGCCAGTCCTCGCTGAATGTGAATCTTATACGTCAAACTATCTGAATTATGCTTTGAAAATATTGCAAAGATTGTATGTATAACATAAAACCCAGCTGATCCGCACTGTAATTGACTACTGGAGTCAAAACTTTAATTTAGTCCGCGAGACCCTTGTTGTTTGGGCTTACAGATAATCCTCTCAGTAACTTCCACTAACATTTTTTTGGGTAGTCTTTTTAATTAACGGCCTTCTGCTGCTGCTGCTGGGCTCCGTGTTGTTTGACAGCTCCTCATCTGCTGACACATCTAACGCAAAGCATCCACAGAGCGACAGCAGCTCTCTAGACATTCCTCTCAGGTTCATCTGACTGACTTGCAAAGAAATTCCCACAAAACTGCCCACTGAGGAGAGACCTGGACCGGAACAGGAAGTACAATGGATGCTCGCTCTCTTCGCTCCTTAAGAGTGAGCAAGGAAAACATCTTAAACAGGTTGACTCCTCACTCTTTAAATATAAACTATGTTGCAGATAGGAAAGCATTCATTGGCTTCATTTTCTAGTTATAAAAACCAATTTGCTGGTTTTAGTAGGTTCTCTCTTTCCTTTCTTTTTTCTTCTTTTTTTTGTCGTTTTTACAATAAAGCACACTTTTTTTTTCAGCCAATGAGATATATCTCATTTACACATTTAGTCCACTTTTTTTTTCCACTTTCAGATTCACACAACCACTCCAACCCTCAACCCTACAAACTTTAGGATAATACACCAATAATTCCCTGCACATGTACTTTTTTTTTAACGCCACGATACTTTAGTAGGCTATTACAGCACGATTTGTCATGCACTTTATCTTTTTTTTTTCTCTTTTTTTTGCAAAATACCCCTATATTGCAGATCTGTCGTGTAACTGGACTAACAGCTGTTTGACTTTAGTTTTCTCAGTCGTCATCCACGTCGTCTCCCTCGGACTCATCCCTCCTCTCGTACATCTTATCCCGCTGCCTCTCCTGGATCTCCTTCATCTCCTCGGCGTATCGGCAGAAAGCTCCTCCGAATTTGCTCCAGGCTTTGAACGGGATGGTGATAGAGTTCCTGTAGCTGGGCTTCACCTCGCTCACACGCAGGAACACTCCGTATTTGTTGGACCCGACGTCGAAAAAGAACCGTTTGGAGTCCACCATGATGGAGGTGCCCTCGGGGAGCTCTCCGTAGCCCCCGGCGGCGGTGCCCCCGGTCAGCTCCTCGTCGTCTCCCCCGTAATCATCTATGAGCTTAGCAAGGGCGTCTCTAAACTCTATTAACCCCTGGGCCGGAAGGGCTATGGTCTGGCCGGCCAGCATGCCGCCCACAGGGCCCCCGACTCCAAAGCCAGGTCCACGGTTTACGGTCTGCCGGATCCGCAGGAACCTCCCCCGCTGGTTCTCCTTCAAGTCCAGGTAGTACTTGCGGTTTTCCCGGACGAGAAACTCGCTCTTGAGCGCTCGCCTGGGCCCGCCGTCCTCCCCCACAGAAGCCTGGGCTATCTGCTCCGGACTGCTAGGCCCCAGCTGGGCGTAGTGCTCGATGAAATCCCCGAGGTAGTCACGGAACTCCGCCGCCACTGACAGGGAGAGGGTCAAGCGACTTTTGGAGCCCCCGGCCCCTACCTCGGCGATTTTGATGAACCTGCCCTTGCTGTTCTGCTTGACGTCCAGATAGAAGCGCTTGTTCTGGATGTCAAGGCGCTTGGACGCCAGCTCCTGGGTCTCCTGGTCCCGCTGGAAGTGCTGGAAGCCGCCTCCGCCTCCTCCCCCGCTGCTACCACCGCGCTCACTCCCGCTGTCGCCATCCGCCATCTTCAGCTCCACCATTCGGCTTCTGCCCCTCTCTCCTGCGTAGCTGCTTTCTGCGCGCACTCAGCCAGCGCGCGCCCCCCTCCACGCTCCACCGTGGGTGCCCTCCGGGGAGCGCTGCGATTGGTCCGACCACGTGCCACTCTCGTGAGTACGGCTCTCCCATTGGTCCGTCGAGTTTGTCAATCACGCCCACATGTAATACCCCTCTTCAGCCATTGGTCGAGGGTGAGGTTCCGTTTGCGTACTTCTTGTCAAGCTTTTTTTTTTACCTTCTCCCATCGGTTGTGAAATTCTCCTTGTTTGTCTGACATAATATGTTATATAAAATTATGTTTTTATTTTTTTATTTATTTTTTGGCTTCAGCTGGTGCAGGATGTCGACACGAATTGTTTTTCGCCAAACAATCTGGAAATTTTCGGGGTCACGTTTTAATATGTACAAAACAGTTTTGTGAATTACTTATTGGACAAATATAATATTATATATTCATATTAATAAAATAATATTACGATATAGGTAAGTAAGTAAAGGTCCTACACACAAAATTTCACTTTAGTAAACCTGTAAAAGTGTTATCAGCAAAAAGGTATTAAAAAGTAAAAGTAATCATTATATAAATTTTTTTATGTAAGTAGCGTCTCACATGTCACTTTATATCACTGGGTAGTAAAACCTATTATAATCCATCATATTCTATAAAATGAATGCATGTTTTGTATTTGAAATCTTATTATATTATGAATTAGAATATCTTATTTTGTTATACATGTATATTATAAAATGTTATTGTATTATATGTAAATCTTATCTTATTTTGGAAAGCAACCTATAACAAAATCTTTCAGATAAATGTAGTGCAGTAAAAAATACAATATTTACCTTTAAAACTGCAGAGGTATGAAGAAGGATTAAATGGAAATATTCAAGTAAAGTAAAAGTACCTTAAAAATATGAGTAAATATACTTAGTTACTTTCCACCACTAGTTATTGCTTGTGTAATTGGCTTCCAATGATTTTGCAGGCAGATGAATAGATCTAGGACATGGGAGTATGTTTTCTTAATGTATGTATGTTTCCACACGTCTGTGTCAATCTTAAAGCTTCTTTTATTCAAAGGAACACATGAGTTTATTTTTACTTCCTCTTTTTCCAGAGGAAAGGAACCTGCAGTGAGTTTGGACCGTCCACGTCGGCTGTAGAGAAGTATCTGCAGGAAGAAGATGAGATGAGAGCACGGGTCACATTAATGACACAGCTGTGATCACCAGCCATGTGGCGAACAATATGATATGTAAATAAATAAATGTTTCATCATCTGGAAATTCATGAGTGAGAATACTGTAATTACCACTTACTACATTTTTATCAAAGCCTCGATCCAGTCACTCATTTTACACAGAACAGATGTTTTCAAAGCAAAAATGTATGTAAATGGGAAGCGTCCATATTCATAGTAAACACTCCTCAGGTCAGAAATGCTCCTGCAGACTTTGTGAACTGATCTTCAGACAGTTGCTTCACTTGCACCAAACATATCACCATGGAAACAAACTAGTCAATATGCTGTGATGTATGAAGACACAGTGATTTCTTAGCGTCATTTCTTCAAGGACATCGTGGTCGTATCTCTGTATGAAGAGACTGATGATGCGCTCACTGTCTGAAACTCACACTTACAAGAGTGACAATAAACTCAGAAAGACTCTTGTTTGTGAGTGTTTCTTAGTACAACATTTCCACATCACCAGTTTGTGTGAAACCGGCCCTGAGTGAATTAAATGGAGCAAAGATGTGTTTTATTTTGATTGGTAAGAAGAAGAACGTGATATTTCTCACGTAGTCTGCCTTTAGATTATTTGAACACTCAGAAATCTGACTTTAAAATAACAGTATTTGCTTTGACAATGTAATTACATCTGCACATGACTGACAAACACACGTTTATCTCACCGTGTGTGATCTGTTGAGCTTTAAACAAAGTGGGTGATTTGCATCAGTCTGAAAACCACAGACCTAAATGATAACACACCTGTCACAAAACAAATGTATTACACATCATAAACTGTCGCTCTAATTATTAAATTAGGGGCAACAGGAAACATGATAATATATATGATAGTATATTCTATCTACTTAAGTACAATTTTCATGTACTTGTACTTGAGTTATTTTACAGATTAAGATTTAAACATCAGTTTTTAAAATCTGATCTTTATACATTAAAGTTCCCGTCAGTGCATTAAGTCAATTAAAATTCTGATTACATGCTGATGAAAGATAATAATCAGTAATAATAATAATTGATATATTATGAAATATATGATAATGATTAAATAACTGAAGGGAGACATTCTGCATAACAAACTTTAACTTGTGATACTTTGATCACATTTTGTTGCTAATACTTCATTCACATCTTGAATGCAGGACTTTAACTAATTGATATTTTTACAGTGTAGTTTTGTTACTTCAACTGAAGTAAAATATGTGAACACATCTTCCATTATTGGCTTTAATAAGTACCAGTACGTACCTGCCTGCATTACGCAGCTCCGCCTACAGGTGGCAGTGTAGTTCTATTTGCAGCTCAGGTGTCTTTTCATGTTACAGCAGCTCCTGTCAGTTGAAACCACGGTTACAATATAAACATAAAACAAACATAAAAATATCTGATCATGTTTAATCACTTTATATATTTGTATTGTGATGTTTAAGTCGGTAAACTAACTAACTACCCAACAAACCCACAACAAACACCTTAAACCCACTAAATTTTCCTGGAATATTCGCAGGAACATGAGCTCAGCGCCCTCAGTGGGAGCTGTGGTTCTGTCTGTGCAGAAGGAAAAACACACAGTTGAAAATATGATTGTGCAACATGAAAATCAAACAGTTTGTACTTTTGTTTTCCCTGTTTTCCCTGTTTTCAGCTCATTTGGAGCTGGATTGCACAAACACACACATTTAAAAACACTGGAGAAGTGAGTTCATCTGAGGGTTGAGGTTTTTGTTTTTTGTTGTCAGTTTTACAAATATAAAAGATAGATAGATAGATAGATAGATAGATTGATAGATAGATAGATAGATAGATAGATAGATAGATAGATAGATAGATAGATAGATAGATAGATAGTAGATAGTAGATAGTAGATAGTAGATAGTATTTAGTTACTTTCCACCTCTACCTGTATGAAAACACATCAGACAACCTGTAAAATCTTAGCAACAGTTTTATTTTAACAATCTGGTTTCACAGTGACATAAGAACAAAAATTTAATAAAACACTTCATAGATTCAAATTTAAATAAATCCAAACTGTACATCAGTTACAAGCAGAGATACACACACAAACCATAATATTGCACAGCCCCCTGTTTGACTCGGGATTCAGATTTAACCTTCGCAGCATGTTTCTTCTAAACATGTGGATCCTATTAGGATAAGATGAGAACGTCTTCTGTTCAAACAATAAAACCAGAACAATCTTACTTTGTTTGACAAAATATCACAGTGAAGATTTTACAGCGGCTTCTTCTTCGTTAGTAATACTGAGGGTAAGTCGGGTAGGAGCCCATGAGCTGAGTTGTGGCCGAGGGCAGCATGACGCCCGGGAGGCCGCTGTACTGGTAGAAGGGGTCCAGAGTGGAGACGCTGGGCAGAGGGGAGCTGAACTGGAGACTGTGCGGGTGGACGTAGGAGGCGGCAGCCGGGGACTCCTGTGCCGCCGCCGCCGCTGCCCCCGATGCCCCCGCTGAGTGGTATCTGGGGTAGGGTCCCGGCCTGTAGGCCTGCAGCTCGGGATAATGCATGAACTGAGAGGCGACGTTTGCCTGGCAGGCGTGAGCAAGGGCGTCCTGCACGGTCCTCTTCAGCTTCATCCGCCGGTTCTGAAACCAGTTCCTGATCTGAGCCGGAGAGAAGAAGAAAGGTTCATGAGGAAACGTTTTCACCAGAGAATTATTCATATTTCTCACTGTTAGAGAACATCACAAATACTGAGGTCACATTATATTGCTGGGAAGCATGTTCAATCAAAATAAATACATAAATTCAATCAAAATCAAATACTGAAATCTTGAGTCCACAACCCCAAACAGCTCCTCAGATAATCAGAGTCTCATAAGAATACTAGTGAAGGTTTTAAAAATAAAAGATTCAGAGGTCATGACCTCAGTGACCTCAGTGGTATTGATATTGATATGTATTGACAGACTGAAAACCCTGAGGCTTGTTACCTGTTTATCAGACAGGTTGAGCTTCTTGCAGAGCTCCGCCTTGTCCTGTGTTCCCAGGTAAGCGTTCCTCTTGAACACCCGCTCCAGGCTGCTGATCTGCTCCGCCGTGAAGGCCGTACGGGGTCTCCTGCCCGAGGGAGGGGACGGCGGTGAGGCGGGGGCGCAGCCAGGGGAGGTGGCGGGGGAGAGGGAACGACCCCCTTCGCTCTCGTAGCCGGACGTCTCCTCCTCTGTCCCGCTGCTGAAACCGGCCTCTGACACTGGAGAGAGGAAATTAATTCAATTTATTTACATCCTGAACAATGACCAAAGTTTTTGCATCAAACACCCACAAACTTCTCACTAATAAACGAGTTTATACAGTTCAGCTGAAAGAACTTTTAACTCAACTACATGTTGTTACTTTACAATTTAATGTTTTACATACAAGCTGTATCATCAATGATTATTTATAAACATTTTATTAATGGTTTTAATTAGCACATTATAACTGAAACTCCTCAGGCTGCTGTATTAACAGATAATGAATGACATTATTGTAAAACAGCTTTAATAATAGTAAATATGTCTTTATAGGATCAATTGTTTACAAATACTGTAAATTAATAATTTGTTTATAACACACTATAATGTAGCTGTAAACATTTTGAATTCTTTATTAATTTGCAATATTTGTAAACAATTGATCCTATAGAGACATATTTACTATTATTAAAGTATATATATGTATAAACTGCTTATAAATAATAATCAAGTACAAGTATCACAAAATTGTACTTAAATACAAATTCTAGATTAAATGTACTTTGTTATTTTCCTCCACTGCAAAATAAATATCTTATAAATCATTTTCCAACAGTAACGCTGCTTTAAATTCACCTTAAAAACCACAAAATATAAATATAAATGCAACAAAATGCAACAAGATGACTGTAAACCAGAAGTGGAAGAAGTACTCAGATCCTTTACTGAAGAAAAAATACTTCATTACAAGTAAAAGTTCATGCAAAAGTATCATCGACTAAAAGAACTGAAATGTGAATAAAAGTGTTTAATGCAGAAAAAAAAATGGCCCCTTTCAGTGATTTTTTCAACTCAGAGTAATGTTGCTATAAATTCACTTTCAGTAGCAAAGACTCAGAGGAATAATGTGAGACTGAGGGTGAGGAGGGTTTATTATTTAGGTAAGGAATCTTACAGCTGACGCTCTGACGATGACTGTATTACTCTTTATGTTGCATTATTATTATTAACGTGAGAAAGGCCTGCTGAGGTCATCTGGTGGAGTAGATGTAGAGGAGTGAACTGACCTGGATGGTTGTGAGACGTCTGGTGCTGCAGAGTGCTCGGGCTGTATGAATCCAGACTCTGACTCCGGCTCTCTTCCTGCTGCTCAGGTAAATTCTCTGACTTCTGCCTGCAGTAAAACCCAGGCAGACTCTCCGCATGCGTCCCGCAGGCTGCGGGTCCGGCTGAGGCCGATCCGGTCTGAGGTCCTGCGGGCTGGCTGCTCTGGGCCATCCACTCGATGGAGAAGTGTCCTCTCATGGCGGCAAAGTGCTGGAGCTCTCTCCTGAGAGAAGCCAGAAAGAGTAGATCCAGGGAGGGAGTGTGTCGGGCGGTCGGTCCGGGTGGAGGGAGAGCTTCTACTGCCTCCTCCTCACAGCCCGTCTGTATTTATAGGGGGGCGTCCCACCTCAGCTCAAACCCTCAGCCCCAGAGATCAAAGCACACATCCTGGCTTCCCTCCCGCCCTCCCCTCCTTCAGTTTTCACAACTGGAGTAATTAAGACGTCTCATTCAGTCTCAATGAGGCTGTTACAACATGGCTCCAGTAAGTCTGGGAAGACCCCCCCCCCCCTCCTCTACACATAACCCCTCCACCACCTCTGCTCCTTCCTGCCTCCAAAAACAGATAATAGACACACCTCACCCCCAAACTGTCTGCACCTCCTCTACACCCACATCCACACTGTAAATACATGTGACCACTGAGGTACTTGTACTTCACATGAGTATTTTATGTTCATGCAACTTCATATTTCCACTCCACAACATTTATCTGATCTTTTTAAAAAAGGATATTACATTAAAAATAAAACATACAATACTCTACAATGATGAATAATGTTCTGCGTTTTATAAGCTGGAAGGAATAGAGTACATTTACTTTCTACTTTATGCTTCTGCTTCTCTGCACTTAAAAAGATCAATTCATTTTAGCTGCTATTTTTAAGTTGGAGCAACTAAAATTAAGTAAACAGAACTAAATTTTAAGTAAATGTAACAAGGGGATATAAACCCAAGTTAACTTAAGACTAATCGTTATATTTTCAAGGCAATCTGTTTCCTAGACTTTTATTTAAGGTAAGATCAACTTGTCAGATTTCACAGTGAAGATATCGCACTTTTATCAAACAGTTTTAGCTACTTTACAAATAATATTTTATACACAAGCTTTTAAAAAACATTATTTGGACAATACTTTACTTTAACCTCCGTATTTAGCAGATATACGCTGTTTAAATCACTATAATGTAGTTGTAAACAGATATAAACAGATATTGAGTTTATTAATTTGCAGGGTTTGTCAACAATTAGACTTCATATGAGATGTATTCATTGTTGGTTAGTTTATAATAACATAACTTGATTTATATATTTTAAGTAGAAAACCAGTTGAAAGTGTTAATGATTCATATTTTCAGTGATTTACAGGAAAATGTAGATGCACAAAAATGACTTATAATAAAGTCGCCTCACATGTAAACACATTTTCTGCTGTATTTGTCTTTTGATAATATTATTTTACAACCTTTATCTGCTCTATAATAAGACGTGGAGTGATCATCACTAAAGATTTCTACATGTGTTTTTGTTTCCTTGCAGCTTTTCTTTGTTTTCTACGATATTACATCAAAAATATTTGGGTTTTGCTTTTCTGGGGAAAATTCTAAAAGAGATTTTTCACAATTTTCTGAACTTTTAAAGAACAAACTGTAAATCGTGTTACCTGTTACCTGAAGACATCCCCTCTGACTTTAGGAAACATTTTTCACCATTTCCTGCAGATGAATGGAAAGAAAATAAACATCAGTTGCAGCCATGAGTCTATTTCTTTTCCACACAATCACTAATCAATTATTCTGTGAGAGTTTATCTGCTCATCATATACTTTCATTTAAGCTACAATTACTGCAAAATTACAGTCAAACTTCCATCAGCCAAAGTTAATGAGCAGTGAGTGGCTTAATACAACGACAACACACTGATCCGGGATGATCCCTGTAGATTAAAGACAGTCACTGATGTGACGTCAGCTGAGCTTAAACAATGATGGGTTTTAAGGTTGTGTGATCTCTGTTGTAATTAATGGACTGTCAAGATTTACATTTAGAATCGATCCTTCAATGAATTTTAGACAAACAACCAATTTTCTGTTCTATTATTATTGGATTAATGTTTAAATACTTTTTGTAGAAGTTGCAGACGTATCACGAGGTAATTAAGACATTGTAAACTCAGAAATCAACACCAGAAAATACATTTGAAGAACTTAAAATATGACTTGACCCATCATCTGATCATCCAGATAAACAGTGGTGGAATTAAAAAATAAAAAAGGTAAAAGTAGCAATACCACAATTTGAAAATACTCCTTGTGATGTCAGAATGGTTTGTGTCAGTGTTAGATTATGATATATTATACTACAATTATTATTACTGATATAACATAATGTTAGCAGCATTTTAATGTAGCAGCTGGCAGTGATTTAACCACGTTTACCCATTTTAAATACTGTTGGGTTATTTTCCTGTCGCCTGTGATAATGTTTTATATTTTATATTCTCATTAAATGTTTTTAAAATCATTATTAAGTGATTATTAAGTATCTGCAGCTCTCAGATAAATGTAGTGCAGCAAAAAGTAATATTTCCCTCTAAAATTTAGTGGAGTAACTCAAAACTAAAATACTCAATTAAAACACAAATGTACTTCACATATAAACTAGACTTTTTTTATTGTAAATTGAGCTAAACCTCTTGTATGAAAAGTGTTTCATAAATAAAGCTATTCTTAAAGTTTGCAAGTTGTCCTCAGTAAATACAGTGAAACTCCTTTATACTGGTATAAAATTCACTTATTATTAATTATTTGGCTTATTAATGTGCATTGTTGATTTATTTGTAACATTAAAACAGTCCAGTAAAAAATAAGTACATGTAAACGGTACTTTAGTGAAGTACTTGACTAAAAATACGTCGTTATACTTCCAGGTTACTCCCACCCATCATCATCATCATCATCATCATCAACATCTGTGGCGCCTGAAATCATCTTTAGCCGGGGCCTCCTTTCAATGCTAAACAGGGGATTTGGGGGATCAGGTGAAGCACCTGATAACGACCTGAGGAGGATGATCCCACCTGTGAAGTGGCTCATAACATCAGCTCCGTCCTGATGGACCCGGGACTGAGGAGGACGCAGGCGCTGATTTGTGTGCAAATGGTTCGTGCAGGGTCAAAGTCGTTGAGGCCTTAAAGGATTAATCGGGTCAATCACGAAACGGCTCCATTGATAAGATAATGAGAGTGCGCGGGGCCGTGCGCGGTGCGCGGATCCGGGCTCATCTCCGCGCCCCCCAGACGCGCAGTCTGAGCGGGGAGAGGAGAGAGAGGGAGAGCCGCGGTGCTAACAGCTCATTATGGATCCCGGGACACTTCAAAGGAGCGCGGGGCTTTGATAGCAACACACCCAACACGAGACATCACAGGACGCCGCCATAAACCGCTTCATATCTCCTTTATGACGTGTAGACCGCGCCCGGGAAAGTCTTCCTCACAGAACCAGTTTTATAGATCGGACTTATTAACTCTAATATTTACATTTCATACAGGTTTATACTTGTGAAATGATACTACATTAACTATAATTATATCAGGATAAATAATTAAATACTTCTACTTTTGATACTTTGAGTATTTACAGAGCATACCTTTGTACTTTTACTTATAATACAGTATTTTTACATTGTGGTATTTGTGCTTTTACTACAGTAAAGTATCTGAGTACGTCCTCCACCTCTGGTTTACAGCCATCTTGTCATATTTTGTTGGATTTATCTTTATGTTGGAAAGTGAAATGTCCGTACCTACATGTTATGTATGTTATGTATGTTATGTATGTATAGAAACAACTGTTGGTACATTTCTGAAGTTTATTTGCAGTGATGTGAAGTAACTGAGTACCTTTACTTGTGGTTTACTCGAGTATTTTCATCTTATGCTACTTTATATTTCTACTCCACAAAAGCAATAAAATGCTTCTTACACATTAAAAAGCTACATAATTAATAATAATACTCCTGTTTTATAATATAACCTATAATAATATAGTAGCACATCTGTCACACAGGGCATTCCTGCATTAATTACTTTTAATGTATTTTGTTGATAATACTTGCATTGTGTAGTAGAGTATTTTCACATTATTGTACTGCTACTTTTACCTCTTTGACTCCTTCCTCTACCACTGGTTTATATTTATATTTGTAGGATTTATCTTTATCTTCTGGGTCTTTACACTCAGAGTGAATTAATAACTGTTGGTAACTTTATTTAAATTTATTTGCAGTGGTGAAAAGGAAGCAGCTTTACCGGAGAACTGTGGTTTATTTGAGTATTTTAATTTCAAGCTACTTTATATTTCTACTCCACAACAGCAGTAAAATGCTATTTACACATTAATAGAATTCATAAATAATCTATTTATATAGTATATAACGTGACAAGTACTTTTTTATTTTGCTACTTTAAGTGTATTTTGATGATCATACTTTTATTTATATTTAGAGTATTTTCACATTGTAATGCTGCTACTTTTACTTCTCTGAATACTTCCTCTACCACAGGTTTATAGTAATATTGTGCTATTTTGCAGCTGTAGAAGTATTCAGATCCTTCACTTCAGTAAAAGTACTGATAAAACATTTGTCAAATACTCAAGTATTATCAGTATAAAAGTACTTTAGAGAGACGAGCTCCTGATACCTGACAGTTACTGTGGTATCAGACTGTCTCCGTGTCTTCGTCCTGTCTCCTCTCGTCTGCCCCCGTGTCCTCACTTCAAAGAGTCCTCGGTCGTCCTGCACGACACAGATCAGGAGGGAGAAGACGAGGTGGAGCGGGTCGACACACTGATACACACACACACACACACACACACACAGACAGAGGAGCAGTGATGGAGGTGAAGGAGAAAAAACAAATGATCAGGAGCTCTTTGAACTTTTAACTGTACCAATCAACTCACTGTCACTGTGTGTTGCTGTGTGTTGCTGTGTGTGTTGTTGTGTTGTTGTGTTGCTGTGTTACTGTGTGTGTGTGTGTTGTTGTGTGTTCCTCTGACTCCTGATTAACCCGTGTTGTGTTGGACTAACAGTTTCCTCTCTCGTGTCTCTTTCACTTCGGTTTACAGTGAAAATAATCGACTGTCTTTTCAACTTAAAAGTCTTTATGTCTCTCCAGCGATGGAGGAAGAACTCAGA